TAAACAAATTTTATCGAATCCTTAAACTTTAAAATTAAAAAAAAAAATTATCTTGTTACCTAATTACTCGACTAATTTTACCATGACATGTCAACAAACATGCAATTATTGACAATTTTAAAAAAGGATACGGTTACCACTAATACTTTTATGATGGGTCCTTCACATTTTTCATGTGTTTATAGTGAACATATTGACAATGACATATGATAAATTATTGGAAATAATTTTGAGAGGTAAAAATAGTATATAACTATGAACTAAATGAATCTAGTATGTATGTATTAATATTTCTTTCATGCATCATATTTTCCTCATATTCACATGTCATTTTCTATTCTCGATTAAATTATAACAATTTAGTACAATGACGTTAATTACAATTAGTGAGTAGTTAAACAACAACTAATGAATATTGTCAATCTAAGCATAGCTCAATCATTAAGATAACAACTTTAATTTAATCGTGAGTTTGAACCTACTCTGACGTGTTGTGTATTAAACAAATAGATGAAGAATAAAAGTTATAGGATTATGGGAAATAATAAAAATAAGAGGGGGAGGGATTTTATTTAAAAAATAACAATAATTAAAAAATGGTGGCCCATGTTTTTTGGAGGGTGACGTGGAGAGGGGTTTGGTTGTAAATTCTAATCGTTGGGATTGTTTGGGGGAGTTGGACGGATCTTATCCACGAACGCGCAATCTATTTTGCCACGTAGATATTGCCAAGTTGGGCGTCTAACGATCTCCTTCCTGGGACGCTACCCAACCACGTGTTTACACCACATCTCTACAAATTTTTTTCGTTATTTTAAACTGTGTTCACATCACTAAATTTTCAATGTTGTGTTATGTAGGTGTTATTCTAGTTCAACAATTATCGGAATGGGACGTGAATCAAATCATCAATCTTTGAGTAGAAAATAGATGTTTTATCTATTGTGAGTTATGATTAGATTAGCGTGTTTAATAAGTTTTTATATTTTAAAAGTGACTCATAATTAAATTAGAAAGATATATCTTTTTGCTTTAAAAAACTTAGGAAGAGAAAAAAGAAAACATGTCTAAATATTAACTTTCCTAGAAAAAGATAACGCAAGGTTGCTATCCTCAATGTCTTTGATTAGATGTTGAAAAGTTTACGAAATTAATATTATTATACACCTATCAAAATTAGAAATTTATTAGACGCAATTGAAAAGGTTGATAACTAAATTTATAATTTTTTTCTAATTATAATTGAAATTCAACCATTTGGAAAAATTTTTGAAATTGTTTAAAATCTTCAGTTATTTGACGATGTTTAGAGATGAACTAAATGAAAGTAAGTGACCTGACGTAATTAACATATATCTCCGATCAAGATCGTGTGAGTTCAATCCCCCAATCCCACATGTTTTACCTTAAAGAAATGAAAGTAAGTGATTTCGATTTTTGACAAGAATTATCCAAATATTTTTAAAATACGGATGTGGATGCTACATGCAAATTAAACAAACTAAAATGATATATTTGTAACGTAGTTGCATATTCCATGTTTGAAAGGCTTCACCCCTTATCAACTCTAAATAGCTGCCAACATATAAGCATATTAGTGGTAATTGATATCTACTTATTTATATAAAGTCGAAGGTTCAAACTTCATTCTCCTAATTTATTATACTTAAAAAAAACATTTCATTAAAGTTGGCAATGGTCACAAAGTGTGGCCGGAGGAAGTGCCAGAGACAGTCTTCAAGGACAGGATTTTTTTTAAAAAAATGTGCAACACGAAGACTTCTCAAGTAGTCACCAAACTTATTCTTACTGAAACACGTTTAACTACAAAGTTCTGATGGGATGTAGTACATTATTGTTGGTATGACTGTACTTAATAACATATACAACTAGTAATAGACATATTGTTTGTGAAAATTATTAACCAATTACAATGTTAAGTCATGTTTTGCTGTTAATTTACAATTAGTTGGATTAGGCTATCTACTCTTTTATCCTTCTATTATTGTGTTTAGGATAATACCTTATTTTTATAATCACTCTTAGATAAATAAGTTTTCTTTCCACTATACTAGCATGTGCTCTCAATCTTAGTGAAGAAGTAAATGTTATCTACCGTTAAATTATAATCACGTCTTAAATTGGGTACATGATTCTTTCATATATATTCTCATACTAAAAAGTATCATTTTTAATTTTCACATGTAAATTTTTTACACTTAAGTAATAATAATGATTTGATTGATAAAAAAAAAATTATCTTTATTTAAAATATCAGATAATGTAAATATGAAGAGAGACAAAAAAAAACAAAAAATAAAAACCGTTCTTTCCGGCCGGTGCAGAGTATGTAGACTAAATATATTTATTAATAATAAAACCTTTTTAATTTCTGAGGTCAGAAATGCATCGAGACACGTGACATGCACGGATGTTAATTTGTATAAAGAGAAAATTAAGATGGATTGTTGTCCCTGTCCCCAACTTGATATTGATACCGTGTATTCATTTTTATTCTAAATTATCAATTTTATGTATTCAAAAAAAAAATTATCAATTTTATTAAATTACAGAGAGCGTTGCAATTCTTACCTTAATTTTAAACATTATTATAAATTTTACTTTGTTTTTGGTTGAATAATTATTACAAATATAATTTGGTGTGTATTTAATGAATTAAAAAATATATGTCAACTACACATGGTGCATTTAAAACTTTATGCTAAAGACTTAAACCGGTATAAAAATAAGTTTGAAACTTTGATAATATAGCGGTGAATTCACGTACGGTTCAAATGAGCCACTTTGAAAGTGATAACAATTGTTAGTACAATGCTTTATTAAAATTCATAAATAGGTATGTACAAGTAAATTGTCCAAATATCCACTACTGGTCAAGTATAGTGATAAAATTTGAGAGAAAAATAATCATTCAATCGTTAATTTTGTACATTCATCAGACTTAATTTTTTATAAATTTGATTCATGAAATTAGTGAATTTTTTGAAATTTATACTTAGACTAATTATTCGAAATTAAAGAGAGAGGATAAAAATGGAATCAGCTATAAAAATCTAGGTCCAATTTAATAAAATTAAAAATTTACATTTGACAAATGATATGACTTACGAGGAAAAAAATGATTTCTTTATTGTGAAAAATATAAAACGACCCAATTATAGTTAAATTTATCACTATTTTATCGGTAGTAAATAAACAATATATTTTTTCTTAAATGCGTGCTCCACGATTATTTGATTTATTATTATTATTATTATTATTATTCTTATTATTATTTTGCAAAGTATGTCAGATGTGGTCAAGGAAGAATGATAAATGAGGAAAATCGGTGAAGGGCGGGAGAAAGATATTTTTAAATGTTAGAGATTTAATCCTTGGGTTGTATATAATAAATTTTATTTTTGGTTGGCCAATCTTTGAATTAATTTTGTTGATTCGATATCCAAAAATAAAAAAATAAATTTGTTGATTTGGTTGTTCCTTCACCATCAGTACTACTTTTTTAAATATTATGATTATAGGAGCTTATTATTTTTTCAAATTCGAACAATTAAATAAACAGAACCGTGAAGTGGACAATGAATGATATCTATTTGCCTTGGGTTTTTAATTATTATTTTTAAAATTTTTTATTTATTTTAGTATGCATTTAATTATTATATAATGTAATCCATGAAGATTTGGTCCATTAAATCATTAAGCAGAATAGCAAGAAAAACAAATAAACAAGCAGGTATTAAGAGCTATCTAGGACAAAATATGGTCTTGTATTTAGAAGGAAGATTTTATTTGTTCAGTACAAGTCAATTTTAATATTGAATAAGTGGTATAATTAAAATATTTGATGAATTGGGTTATTGCATTTTAGGTGCACCCTTTTTTTTTTAACCAAAATTTTAGGTGCAAGTTTTTTATAATTTGATTGATTTTTATGCTCGATTAAGCAATTAGGTGGAGGATTATGGGGTTTTTTTTTAATTGCTTGATTTTATTGGGACGTTTTTGTAGCTTAGATTGAGCATTTGAGTGGTTTATTTAATACATTTTGATTGATATTTGTTGGTTTTTGAGCAAATTTAGCGATTGAATTTGATTAAATTAAAAGTTTAAAGTTAAATTAATTTACTCAACACAAAATACATAGCTAAGAATTCAAACGTCCATCAAGGTATCTTACCCACTTACGTTTGGATAGACCAAATTTATACGTTCATGTTTACAATAATAAAAAGATTAAATAATCAATCCTTAATTAGGGATCTAATTTTTAATAAGGATAAAATAAAGGTCCACTTGCAAAATATAGCAACAAATGATTAGTTAATTGCAAATCTAACAACCGCTTCTCTAATCTAGCAAGGAATAGAGGCCCAACCCATTAAAATATATATATATATATATATATATATATATATATATATAAAAGTTGATTATACCCTCACGTCGATTTACCTAATATCAAATATTAAGTATATCAATTAT